TATATCTGGTACCTTCCACTTCATCTAATACTGAAAAAAAAATTGGGATGAACGTCTAACATTTACTTCCAAGTATATGCGAGCAATTAATCAAAATTTAAAATTAAAGACTTTTGTGGGAAGGTACCAGAAGGAGAGAGCCTATGCATTCCATATTCACATCAGATTTCAGGTTACCAAGTTTTAAAAGAATCGCTGACTTGAGAAGTTAAAGGAGATATGGTTCTAATTATATGAGACATAATTATTTTAAAATTTGCCCCTTCGTGGGACAGATACCCGAAGGAGTAGGCCGATATATCTTCATACTAGGTCTTGTGTTAAGAAGAAACATTCTGGCGTGCCAAGTTTGAAAATAATCGGATGCTTATTTTGTATTTTATAAGAGTTATAATTATTCAAAATGTTGACCCTTTTTGGGGGAGATACCAGAAGTAGTGGACCGATATATTTCACCTTAACGTGTGATTATGTGTTGATAAAAATATTGGAATGAGTGTAATTTGAAGAAAATTTAACACTTATTTTAATTCATTCAGAAGAAGTCGGTCGATATATTCCATCGTCACACAAGGTCTTGTATTAGTAGAAATATTGGGACGCGCAAAGTTTGAAAATATTCGAATGCTCATTTCGCTTTTTATGAGCTTCATAGTTATTCAAAATTTTTTTTCGGATGCTTATTTTGTATATTATAAGAGTTATAATTATTCAAAAGTTTGACTTTTGTGTGGGAGATACAGGGTAGATATTATCCATTTTCGCATCTGATATAGCACTGACACAAATATAGGGATTTGTAAAATTTGTACAACATAGAATTATCCGTTCTTGTTATATACGGAAAATTATATTCTGTGAAAATTTTGACCTTTTGTGGGTGGGGATACCAGAAAGGGTGAACCTATGTTATGCATTCCGAACTTGAACTAACTTTGGAATAATATTCTTTGAAGCAAGTCGGATGCTCCCTTCGAGAGTTATCGTGCTCAACAGCCAGACAGACGGACTGACACCCTTAAATCGACTCCAAATGTCCTGAAACGGATTTGGTGTAAAGTGACCTAGGGTCTAAAACCGTTATGACGGTGAGATATGTTTCGATCTCAATATCAAATTAAACGACTCCAGTACTATCTCTTCAACCAAAACTCAATTTAGTACCACTTAGTACTTTCCCACTATTATACTACACATTTCCAAAACCACCTCCACAGACGCCAACAGTGGCATCTATATGAAATTTAGGAATTTCAGCTCTATTCCTTCACTCAATTCCAATTTTCATACAATTATAGTACACATTTCCGAAACAATCTCCGTATGTCCAGGATATACATAAACAGCGACTTTAATACAAAATATTTTAGATTTAAAGCACTATATGTTCAGCCAATACAAAATTTTACCAAATATGGTACTATTAGTACCTTTCGGCCACTTCTATGTGTTGGGAGGTATTATAAGTTTGATTGGGCCAAAAGGTCCAAATTATGAACCGATCCTAACGAAAATGGAGGTGGGGTTATGGTCGGAAAAGAACCCTATTGTTTTTGGAGATGATCGCACGATATTTAGGGGTTGAAATGGAGCAAAAACAGAAAAATTTCCTGATTTTGCAGTTGCTCTATAGGCCACAATTATGAACCAATCGACGCGAAAATTTACATGGAGTTAGAGTTTTGGAGTGGGCAGAAACCTACCAATTTGGCCATCGGACAATAATTAGCGGGTATCATTGACCCTAACTTTTATGTAAGAAAATAGGAAAATGTCCACTAAACCGCTAATATTTTCAATCCCAGCCAAATCAAAATACATTAAAAGATCACTTCTGACCATTACAGTGATGCTAATAGCCAAGAAATCGGATATATAGCAAAATAGGTACATTATATATATAAAAGAATTGATCTTATTTATTATGTTTATAAATCAAAAACCGCTGGGTCGATTTTCACAATTCCCATCAGTTCGGAATGGTCTCTTGCCAGAAAACGATAAAGTCGAAGAAAATCGCGGAAAAATATACCAATAAAAAAGTGAATATCATTTGTCGATTTTTTTCTATTTTTGTCATATTTTTTATCGCATGAGATTTTTTCAATTTGACTTACAATTTGAACTGTAAATTTTCTAAATTTTTACACCCCCCAACAATACATTTTGAGGGTTATATATGCATATCGCAATTGTCGTCCGATCCTCACGATATTTTGCAGAATTAAATCCTATTGTTCTTAAGATGTACATTTGGAGGTGCAAATGGACTAAAAAAAATAATTTTTTCTAATTTTGTAGTCGCTCTATAGGCCACAATTGAAAACAAATCGGCACGTAATTTCGCAGCAGAAGAGAGTTAAGGACTGGGAAGAAGTCTAGCATTTTGAATGACCATTGAATTATATTTAGCTGTAAAATGGACCACAACTTTCGTGTGAAATTGTTTTGAATACTTAACAGCAATACGGAGTGCGTAAATATTGGCCAAATTCTCCGGGTCAAAATACTAAGGGTAACATGTGGGCGGGGCACTTTGATATTATTTCAAAAACGAAATCTTCAAAAATGGATTTGGATATAAGTGGACTTTGAACATTTTGTTGTGTTTTAGGATATCACATGGTCGGCCCCACACGACTATAGCCTTTGCTTACTTGTTTATGTATACATAGATATCCCGTTATGCATGCCAAAATTTGGATATTTTAGTAATCTATCAGCCTCGAACAATCCGAAATAGGAAAGTTTCGAACATTTGCAGGCACAGATATACCAAGATTAATTTTTTGGATATTTTTCTCAAACTCCACTCAGAGCGTCATTTTGAAAGCTAATATTACCAGTATCTTCCTCGTCGATTTTTGATGATTCAACATGGCGCGATAACGTTTCCTTATTGACTGTAACGGTTACTACTTGCAAATTTTTTGAAGGCAAAATGCCTTCCCCATTTTTGAAGAAAAATAGTCCAATTATGACCCAGGAACAAAGTCCGCACCAAAGAGTAAGTCGTTTTTGGGTGCATAGGCTTTTCAATGCGCACGGATTTTCGAAAAATGCGACGCAGCAGCAATACTCTTTTATACCCTCCGCCATACTATGGAGGGTATATTGACTTTGTCATTCCGTTTGTAACTCCTCGTAATACTGATGTTAGACCCAACAAAGTATAAATATTCCGTCTGTCTGTCCGACGGTCTGTATGTTGTAATCACGCTATCTTTCAAACGAATAGAGATGGAAGGCTAAAATGTTGCACACATGTGTTTTTTTGCAAGTTAAGTTCGTAAATGGTCATGTCGGCCCCCGTTTTCATATAGCTCCCATATAACGGTACCTCTCAATATTTGGTATTTTTATGAATAAGTACATTGTAATAATAAGTTACATTATATTTCGAAATTGTTCTAAATTTCATATTTAAAGAGCTTTAATTTTTTCAACCTATGACAAAAAATTACTTATGTAGGTCCAGGTTTTCGATTAGCCAATATATAACCGCAACTCCCAATAGTCGGTAATTTTATTTTATTAGAGACATTATAGACTGGAATTTGTTTCAAATCTTGTCTTTAAAGTTCGTAAAGAGTATTCCAGCCTATGACTAAAAATTGCGTATGCAGGTCCACGTCTTCGTTTAGCCACCATATAACGATACCTCCCCATATTCGGAATTTTGATAATTTTTGGGACATTACTCAATGGAATTATTTTAAAGTTTGTATTTGAAGGTCCCAAGGGGAGTACCACAGCCTATGTCAAAAAATGCATGCAGGTGGTCGTCTTTCATAGCCTTAATAGAACTGGTTTAAACGGTATTTTTCGATCAACATTACACTGCAACATTAACTTCTTATAAGGTAACGAAAAGACGGAGCTGATACCGAATGAAAGTTTCGCAAAGTTTTTCAAAGTAATGTCGCAATGTTTCCTAGCGTTCTGCATGCGTATACACAACCATATTTGTTCAGCGGAAGGATAAATCTAATTATCTTTCAAATAAAACTGGAGCTAAGGGTTACCATTCTCGAAATAAGCACTACTTGAAAAAAGTTAAATGGCGAACCCCGTATACGTACTTATTTTGTCTCCGACAACGCTGAATTGAAAAAAACGTTGTTTTTTTGCAAGAAGTCCCTTGGAATTCTTTAAAAAAATTCTAGACTTCTTGGCCAAGAGAGTTAAGTGACATCAGGCATGGGTCTTTTTTGCCAAGATGACCTTATAAATATTTTTCCATTTTTTTGTTTTCACGATTTTGTGCCAGGAAAACTTAAAAAAAAATATGATTTTCAAAAAGTTCCTAAATATTCATCCACTTTTCCTACTTTTACTACAATTCATCGCTTGCTTTTCGCCTCTATTTTCCTCTTTGCCGATATCCTATCCGATAATGTTTCAAAGGCGTCCACAATGAACCCACTGGACCAGAAGTTTAGGCATAACATTGGTCTTGTTGCAAATAATCACACATCCTTAACCATTCATAAAATCTTGTTTTTTTTTCGATTCTGTCCCCTGTCTTCCATATAAAAAAGAACCGCTAATTTTTTTTTACAAAATTTAAAAAAGCGTGAACACCTCTTTATTAATTTATTTTTATGACTTTTATTATTATTATTCTGAATAGCAACTGTTTGCGCTGATAATCTTCTATCTTCCTAAAAATAGTTTCCGAAATCCAAAAATATCTAATTATTCTAGCTTGTTTTCTTAGATTTGTTTGTTAATTGTACATATCTCTGATGTTTTGCACAAGAACTGTTATTAATATCTTTAATTGTTTTCACATGTTCTCGAATATAAATAAATTTGCACTCTCATAATAAAATACTTTTAATGAAAGCATTTTAAATTTTATTTGAAATAAATTTTTTGTTGCTGTTGGTTTTTTTTTTTCTTTTTGGTTTGAGTAGACGTTGTTTCTGACTGATTGCAATGATATATCTCTGTCACACGTAAACACTATATAAATACAGCAGCATATTTTATATCACCATTTATTTGTTTTATTCAGACGGATTTTTATAATTTTGTTAACCTTTAGAGCTGAGGCACTGACAACTCGCGTGTAATCTGGTTGTTACGATTAGGTTCTCATATCTATTTACACTTTCCGAGGAAATTCTACAATTTTTGTTTTTAAATTATCAATTGCAGTTAGGCAATGTTACTGCACTTTTTTACACATTTCCGTCCTTACGCACTTGCAGTTCCGTAGGTGTCTGGCTGTGCTTCCCGTTTAACGTTTCAAATCTCACTAATTCCTCATGGCCCGAAAATATAAACTTTTACCCATCAGTCCAGTGGCAGAACGTACATCCATCTATCCACATCCATCTGAGCGTATATCTGCTGACTATCAGTCTGTCTGTCCGTCCAGCTATCCAAACGACCCACCGACCGACCGACCTACTACTTCTGCTAGGTTTCCACTCTATTTATCTGTTAATTCTACGAGAAGAATATCAACAAGAAATTGAGTACTTTTTCTTTGCCCAGATCTTGAGGATGATAACAGAAACAGAAAAAAAAAAAAAAAATAAAATGAAACTGGGGAATTGTTTATTTTCTCCTCCACAACAACTGATGTTGTTGTTGGTGTTGTTGCTGATTTGATTTGGATGTTGCTGTTAATGTTGATTTAATGTTGATTTAATTTTCGTTTTTCTTTTTTTTTCATTTCAATTTCCATTCCCATTTTATATTTCCTTTGCACGTGAGTTGTGTGAAATCTGTGAAATGTTAACGCGCCTCAATCAGAACACAAAATACTGTCAAGAGAAATGCCAGTTATCTTGTATTTGATCTTGTTACAACAAAAAAAATCCAAAATGTGTGTGCTATATGTCGCTCACCCAGATCTATTTGAATTTAATTTGTATTTCTGTTTCATTTTTGGATATCTGGACAGGGTAAATTCTCATGGCATTGCAATACCATGTAGGTTATATGCGATTTATTTCATGAGTTTTGTTTTCTACTAAATTCTAAATTTTCAAGACGTTTTGCCAGCCGACTGTGCTTCGAGTCACATCAAACCCTCTTTAGGAGACATAAACCCAAGTTACATTTTGACCTTCCTCACATTTATATTTCAGTGGAAAAATTATAAAGTTACTCTAATTTAAAGCTAAGGTTCGCTATTGGTTTATTAATAAAGTAGAAGACCTTCCTTCTGGCTAGAAGTTCTTTTGGAGCAAGATCTACTATGAATCTATACTATCTTTAAATCGTCTATAATATAAAAAAGTCTTCCGGGATCCTTGAATTTCACAAAGACTCTCATATGTTATCCAAAAGTCCTTTAAAGGTTTCATCACTTTTGTCTTCTAATAAGAAGTTACCACAGGTCTTATCTAGGCTCTTTTCTTCAAAAAAACCTTTGAAGAAAACCTTTAAAAAATTGTAATATGTCCTTCGACATATTTGAACTTTTATGTGGAAGGTAGAGAAGTCTTGTATATTTATATAAACTCCAAATTTTTGAAGTAAATCGGACCTCGATTATTTTCCACTTTAAGAGAGTACTTGTTTTTATTAAAAATGTCGACCTTTTGTGGGTGAGGTACAGGAATGAGTTAATACTGCACATTTTCAATCATGACTTATGTCTTCCCTAATATTGCGGTTTATCCAGATTCAAGTTCATCGCATACTCCCTTCGAAAATTGGAAAATTTTTGAATTTTTGATTTTCTGAGTTTCGATATCTCCGAACTTTATCTACATTCGGTAAATATATTAACATATACTAAGTTATCATCAAATCGGAGACTTGGTTGACTCCAATAATAGGAAGTCCTCTATAATGTCTCCAACAGCATGAATATCCGTTTTATATATAGTTAAGAGACCTCAAGGACATCTTTAAAAGTTGATAGATAACTAGGAAGTCCTCAATATTCGGATACGTACAATGCCTATAGAACATCATATATAGCTTGAACCCAGAGGCATTTTATAGGTACAAGACCTTTATACAGTGTTCCATAACATCTCCTCTCAACAGAGAATACCTGCAGAAGTGTTATTAAGCATATTTTAGGATGCCAATATCAATAAGTCCTCCAAAAAGTTGACATAGCTAATGTCAATATCTCGAAGGGATCCGAAGCGCCCTCTAGATCTGAATAACTATGTAAGGTCATTCATGAAAAGATTACCTCATCCCAAAAGCTTTTCAAAGATTAAAGGCCTGCAAACAATTTATGAAGAGGCCCAGAATCCCACCTTAAAAAATTGTCCAATTATTTCTCTAAATCAAAATCCGCAAAAAATAATGACTCGTTTTGGGTGCATTGGCTTTTCAATAGGAAGCCATCTGAACATATAATATAGCTAAAGTAACTTCAAAATCCCTAACATTTAGATGGTTTCCATAATGTCCATAATTGGGGTCGAAGCCTTGAAAATACCGAAAATCAAGAGGTATAGTTACATGGGGGCTATATCTAATCGTTAGCCGAAATAATCCAATTTCAGTGCCGAGATTTCTATGGCCAAAATATACGTCTGTGCAAAATCTCTATTATTATTAGCGATTCCAACAGACGGATATGCAGACAGACAGATTTGGCTGAATCGACATAGAATATATGTTAAATGGAGATTATAACATGATCTTTATACAGACCAATCCAGGGAGAAATCTCTAGAATTTCCCTATATGTGGAAGTCTTTCTGGGGATATAATATCTCCAGAAGAACTCCACGACTTTCACAGCTACCAATAGAACATAGAAGACTTACAGATGTGCTCCAGAATACAGTTCCTTTGACAGTCTTCAAAGGATCGTTCGATCTAAAGAAAAGAGAATAACTATTATAATACTCTATTATCATAATAAATATAGAGAAAGTCTCCTGCAACAAAATTCTTAATATGTTTTCCTAGGAAGCATACACTCTGAAAAGGTCTTCTTCAGAAAAAAATACCTTTTGCGAATCCTCTGTAAAATGAAGTCCCCTGGAGGGTCTCCAATAGAAAGACGTCCTGAAAATGTTTATAGTCTTCTGTGGACAGAATATATGTTGGGAGTCTTCTATGGAAAAATTACATCCTACAGGACTTCTAAGAAAGAAGTCGTTCTACAAGCCTTCCTCATTTAAAGTACCTTTTTAAGGTCTCCAAAAATAGATCTTGTTCATCTGTCAAACAAAGGAATACTTCCGCAAGGCTCCTTAAGAAAGAAACCTCCTCGAGATGTCCAGTGGAAAGAAGAACTCATGGAGCTGCTCTATTGAATGAAAACGTCCTGATGGTGTTCCATACAAAGAAGATGCAGGACATCAATAAAAATACAACGTCCTACATATCTTCCATGCCAAAAATAACCTACTTTGGTCTTCTTTAAAAAGGAAATTTAAAAAAGTCCCCCACTTTCTCGTGCTGGTTTTCTGTGGATAGAAGACTCCTACAGGGGTTCTCTAGGAAAAATATCTCCTTTAGTTCTGGTATAAAAAGAATACCTCCTGTAGGTGTTCCATAGAAAAGAAAATATAGACAAATACCGCCTGCATGTCTTTTATGGAAGAAGATCACTTAGAGGATAGACCTTTTACACGTCTTATGGGTATAGAAGATTAACTTCATCTCTTTTGGGAATAGAAGACGTTATTTGGGACACTTACTAATAGAAAAACCCCTACAGGTCTTTTGTGGTGAAAGACTCCTTAGAAGTCTTCTGCTGAAAGAAGTCCCCCTATATGTCTACAATGGAAAATTGAAAGCAGTCCTTAAAGAAATAAAAGAAATAATAAGAAAAATGTTACAACATTTCCCTATGTATTTTCGGAAGAAAATACTGCCTTCAGATCTTCAACGGATTGAAAAACTTCTGCAGATCATTTAAAATCTGCCATATTTTCTATCGGTAAATCAGGGCAATTGCCGCAAATGCCTTTAAATCACTCGAATTTTTTTTAGCCATCTATCAATAATAAAAATGCTATAGTCGGCAACTGGTGTTTCAAGTGGTCGCTGAGGTATTCAGACCTCTCTGGGCATCCTTCACCACCAATCAATAATATCGAATGAAGACGCATTGAACAAGTTATGAGCAATTGATGCTGGCTGTGGCTTCTTCAATTTTCTTTCATGGTTTGGCAATTTAATAAAATTAACAACAACAACAATAGCAATAAGTAAACTTTTTGTAGTGGAATTTCAAGCAAAAGAATGGGAAGAGGGGTTGGGGGAACATTTGAGGATCTAAAACCGTAAACAAGTGATAAATCTTATTTCTGTGGTTACCACCGGCATTGCGGACTTCATAGAAAAAGTAGCATCGGCAGCATATCGCCTCTGATGATGAGGTGGATGATTTCAAGACAAGCTGTCAACACTGACAAAAAAAACATAAATCGAAGATGATGACGAAAAAGCCGAAGAAGAAGAAGCGTTGCTACTCTGATTGGAAAAAGTCGTAAATCAACGAAATATGTAGAGCAAAACATTAAAAAACGGCAGGTATTAGTTGTTTTAATTGTTTATAAAACAATGGGAGGTCGTGTGCTAAAGCACCAGCGTCCCTCTCTCCACGTACTCGCACTCTCGCACACTTGAAAATCCATCCAATGATCATGGTCACTGGGAATGGTGAGTGGTGGGGGAAGGGGAGCCAAATATTATGATAGGTCGGGTGGTTAAGGCTACTCTGCTGCTTTGTGCAATGTTGCTGGGTTGTGGGAAAAAGTTTTTCAATTTTTGTTGGTTTGGTTTATTCACCCTCCTCCCTTCTGGGTTTTGAAAGAGCACACAAGAATTCAATAAAATATAAATCAATTTTATGGAAACACAAGGTTGTGAAATACCCAATCATAATAGCAAAGAGCGTGCGAGGGGCCATTGATTGAAACAATATCCAAATACGCAATGCCAGTCAGTCAGCCAGCCATCTACCCCACGAGCTGGGAGATAATTAAAATTTAAGAAGTCATATATTTTGGCTATGCTTTTTCTTCTTCATCTGTTATTTGTTAGATTTTTGTTTCTCAGATTTCAACTCTTCATCGTCCAACACCCAAAAACACCCCAGTTAATTTATGGTCACACAGAAGTCAATGAAGTAGATTCGAATGTTTTTTTTTTTTTTTTCAAGTTTTTGGTTCTTCGCCGTCTACAAATTTACGCATTAAAAATTAATAAATTTTTATGACTTCATTTCATGAGAATAAACATCATTAAAATATGATTATGAGTATTGCGAAAACTGTTTTGAAGTGGTAAAGAAAATTATGATT